GCTGGGAGGCTGGTGCACCTGGAGAGAGCACAGGAGCTCTGAGGGCACCCCCATCCCTGGCTCTGTGCGTCTCCTCCATCTGGGATTCCTGAGGTGCAGGCTCTGTAGTAAACAGGTCATCTCGTAAGGTAAATGGGTCCCAGGGTCCTGGGAGCTGCTCCAGCACATCACTGAACCGGAGGATGTGGTGACAACCCCTGATCTAGAGCTAGTTGGTCAAAGCACATGGGTCAGCCTGGACTTGGGACTGGCCTCTGAAGTGAGGGTGGGGAACCAGTGTTATGGGACTGAGCCCTTAACCTGCAGGGTCTGTACTAACTTCACGTACACAGTGTCAGAATTAAATCAAACTGAGGGACACTGATGTGCTATCCACAGAGAACTGGGAGAATAGTTTGGTGCAGAAAAACCCCACACACATTTGGTGGCTAAAAGTGAAGTATTGAGAATACAGAAAAAGAGAAGTTTTCACTGCTGCTCTCTAAAGCAGTAAGAGAACAATGTGCTAAGATTTATGTAAAAAACTATTTGTTAGTACTTCTGGCCATTCGGTATGCTGTACCAGCTACACGGCGTGACAGAACAGCTACAGCCACTCGATACTACAGCATGTCCTGGGTTCCTGGAGGCCAACTGTCGGCCAGCAGCCTATCTTTCAGTAAGAGCTTTTCAAGGGAGAAGACATTAAAACATTCACACAGGATTTTTAATAACTGACAAAACTTCCTTCCTCAGATTCATATTTAAACCTCTACCTCCTCACACTCAGACACTGAAGGTCTTCCTGCCCACACTGATCCTCAGGAATAATACCCATCAGGGGCTGCCACCCTACTTTCTCAAAACCTGTGCTTCTGAACTTGACTTCTCCAGCATGTTCAGGAAGAATGTAACACCAAAATCACATTCAAGAATAACTGGGTTTTGTCTGAATTTCCTATTTGATCACATTTGAACTTGAAAACACTTTTACCTATTCGAACCACACAGAGTAGGAAGTTAAATAACTTCTCTTCAAAACTAGGTCCCAGCTCTACTCCTCCAAGAAATATGGATCAAACACCTTGTTTTGAAATTTTAAAATCCATTTTTTGGAGTTTCAGCAATTTCTATTGATTTTAATTACATTTTTTTTGCAGTGCAACAAGTAACATGCATAGATAATACTTTGGCTTCAGTAGTATTTGCAATAATGAATTTTACCTAATATTCAAAAGCCAAAAAAAGTTTTTGTGTTCATTCATCTTTCAACTCGATCCTGGAAATCATGTTTTTCAAAAGAAAGTTGACCATTCACTAGTATTAGTGCGGTTTGTGTCTAGTATTCTAAAAAACAGAACAAAATGCCAGCACTCATCACATACATAAAAGTAGGTACTATTTTGTTAAATATTTGTTCACGTGTATAGAAGTGTGTGTGTGTCACGATGCAAAAAGTATTTCTTCCTGTGGTCAGAAAGCTGGAGCCATTGCTGCAAAGGCTTCTGTGTCAGTGAGTTCACCAGATGCCGATGCCATTTACTCTTCTGAGAGCTCTGGATTAAGCTGCTAGACCCAACCAAGAAGGCGTGGCTCAGTCCTTTTATGGAAGAGATTAGAAGAATCAAACACATCTAAGAAACTCAAACAATGACATGACTTACATGATTTCAATTGCTGATGCTACGTTTTAGCTGCAAATGGCTGGAAGAAATTCATCTACCAATAACTCCACAACAAAAAGAGAGAGAAAACGTTCGTTTCTTCCCCAGTCCAACACCTCACCAGAACCATTACTGCCCTTTATAAAATTGACATGGAAGTAACGTACATACACCCTTAATTTTTAGCCACAATGGTATTTAAGATTTAAAACAAAAATAAAAACACATTTGAATGCTTTTAAACCAAAACATGAAATCACTTTTTGTAAAATTTTAATTTCTAAGACATTTAAAGTCACACTAAAAGTATCTCATAGAAACAAACAAGGCCAACAGATGATTTGTAAACAAAACACTCTGTAAACAAAAGTAACATACCAGTGCATCTAAACATTATTTTTAAAGTAACACACCAGTTTTTAAGTCAGTACTGCATATATACTCCTATTTTTAAAAAATTATTTTAAGAACTCTGCCTTTATACATTAAATACTGTGCTAACGAAGAAAACCACACAGGGTTTTCAAAGGACGTGAGCTTGTGCTGCGGGCAGCTTAAGTGGTTATGGGCGCGCACACAGGTCTACTGTGCTCCAGCAAGGCAAGGCTGATGTCCAAGCCCCTGAGAACGGGGGCGCGCAGTGCACTCCTCGATCACATGCAAGAGTCAAACCATGCAGAAGACTTCATTCTCATCCAGTGATCAGTCAGCCTCATGGTGTGGCCTGAAGTAGCTGCGTGTGTGTGCGCACGTGTGAGCGTGCATGTGTGTGCAATTTTTACACAGTCTCTTCTCTTAGAGCAGGTCTGTTTTTATAAAGAATATATGTAAAGCTAAGTAAATACTGAATCTAAGAAATATTTTGGAAAAGTCAGTAAAAATTACAAATGTTATCATCCATAAAACTTAGAATTTCAAAATGAGTACTGCAGAACCAATTAACATTTAGAGTTGGTAAGTCGCCTCCAGAAACTGTTTAACTACAGTGTCTAATGCCCCTTCAAGTGGATCCTAAGGTGAGAAAGAGTCAACAGAGCGTCTGACTTCACACAGTCACCTAGATGCCCCGCACCCAGTGAGAACACCGGGGCCATCCCTGGGGCCGCCCTAACCGTGGGCACAGGCCACCTGCCTCCTCCTTCGCCGGCACAACTACAACGAATGAAAGGCTTGAAGTGCTCCTGTGCTTACCAGACTTCAAGTGCTTGGCCTTAGTGTGCTGCCACCCATTTCTGTCGTGGCCTCGTGCAGCCTCCAGTGTGTCCAAGGGAAGCATCTGTGTTCAGACTAAGTCTCTCACTCAAGAGGAAGACTCCTGCGTACGTCACCAGGAATAAACTCTTTGCGGAACCCCACGCTGCTGCACTCACGCAGCAAACGGTGTGTAATCACCTGCACTTGTCCCCACAGAAGGCGTCTGAGACCCAAGGTTCCAACCGTCCCTCCATGTGAGCTGTATCCTGTCTCAAAAGCAATGAGGATGCCCCCGGTAACAGCTGTAAGAATTTATAATACATTCCACTGTTTACTAATCCAAACCGAGCCTAAGTTTTCCAATGGAAAGAAACTTTCAAATGAACAAAGAAATGATACAGACATTGAAAAGTTTAATATTTTACTCAGAAATTTTCAGACATCTTACAAATACCCAAGAACTTCCTATGGATGTGCCCAGAAACCAGTGTAAGTTACAAGTGAGGTTCTTTTATGTAAAGAACTTTCTTTTTCTTTTCCCCTTGACCTAGTTTGCTCAAAATATGGATTGCAAGCAAATTTCAGAAAAACCATAGCCTGCAATTAATGTTTAAATAGGTGTAACTACCAGTGAAATTAGGAAATGGCCAACTTCTATTAATTTTCTCAGTATGCAGATCCTATGTGGAGAGATTCACCAATTTACGGAGTGTTGTTTAGAATCACAAAATGTTCTTTTATTTTAAAACTGGACTGTATTTTAATGAGCAGAGAAGCTCGGAAGGAAATGCAGAGGTGTAAATAAAGGAGAGGTGTACACAATGGAACTTAGGATTACACAGATAAAATTTTCTTATTATTTTGGCTCTAAGTGGAAATTTTTTATGTCAAGTATATATAGCCTGATTTTCATAAATTTCTCCAAAAAAAAAAAACCCTTTAAACTCAACAATTTGAGAAAAATGTTCTTTTACTTTTGTCTGAACACAGACAATCTGTTGCCATACACATAGTGCATGTGAACATAGGTATTTATAGAGACTATGTAACTTCGAAGTGTGTGCAAAGGGGCTCATCTCTTATTTCTGCATGCACGATTTCCAGTACTCTATCCTAGGGGATGGATGGTAACACAGAGTACAATTTTACAGTTTTTATGCAGTGGACTTAATGTCAAGAAGCCACCCCCAGAATTATTTACAACTTAGTAACTGAATGATTATCAGATCATGAAACACTGAAAAACTATTCTTACATCATGAATGCTGATACTGTGCACCTGGGTGTCAAACTGGTAACTTTAGTGAGTCTGAGGTTTAAACTGGCATATACAAAAGGAGCCCAGGCCTGAAGAATGTGTTGACAAAAGGGGTTTCTACCACAGAGCATTTGTAGTTTCATAATGGACACAGGAGAACAAGGAACTGAGAGACTTTAGAAAAAAAGCTTAAAAAAATTGAGTGTACATATAGCCTATAAGGCAAAATCTAAGTTACAAGTGTATTCGACACCGGCAACTATGTTACGAGAGGTAATACTGAATTCTACACACATAAGATGTCAGAGAACTAGGATCACAGAATACTTCCTACGTAGCTGACCACACTCCGTACAGTGGAAGGTTTCCCATGCTGTTCTACCGCGGATCAGGTTTTCGAAAGAATTTCGTCTTTTTCCCTTGACCCAAAGTCCAATCGTATCATTCTGAAATATAAACCAGAACTACGCGCTTGTCTTTTTCTTTAAGGACGTGAACAACAGCTCTGCGCACTACCGCTCCAATGCACCCACTGCGATGATGGCGCCGGAAACCTGCTTTTTTGCGAGGCCTTCACTTCACATCCAAATACCAAGGATGCCTTTCATGATGCCTTCTTCATTCTGAATAAAATACATAATGGGATTGAACTGAATTCTTAGAAAGCCCCCAAGTCTGCCTTTTCTGACATTCCCACAGGGTGACTGTATCAACTGATGCAAGCGAACGTGTCCCCAGAAGAATGTGCTGCCCTACGGAGCCGCGTCTGGCTGGAAACTGTGGGGGTCCTTCACGCGGCTAAAGGAGGAGGCCTGTGGCGGCCCAGTTCTCAGGAGGTTATGAAAGAAACGGTGCTGCCAGGCCCCGGCCCTGAATGTGAAGCCCAGTCAGCGCGCGTCATTTCGGACCGGCGGGGACGTCAGGAGTGTGGGGCTCCCAGGGCCTGGCTCGCGGAGTGCTGCTGCGTGTCTCACAGCGCTTTGTGATGCCCGTTTGCAGACGGCTTTGATGTTTCTGAATCCCTTGAAGGATCTGATAAGTGGAGCTTATGAAGCCCTGCAGAAAAATTAAGAAAATGGTGAGAAATGATGTACTGTGGCATAGGTGGGCAGAGGGCTAACGAGGAGTGTCAAGTACTGAGAAAGCTGTGATGTGCTGGCCAGACACCTTTAGGGTGAAAGATCTCTTGTCCTCACTGGAGGCTCCCTGGGGGCCTAAGCAGAGGACAGTTGTCTCTCAGGAAGCCATGCCTTCTCCTCAACTCTGTGCAGCTCTGGGGCCCAAGGAAGCTTCTGGTTTCTTCTCTCTGGAGTTCCTTCTCCACCTCCTGCCCTCCACACCAATCCTAAGAGCACCCTCTCATACACCTGCTCCTCCAAGCTTGTCCCAGTCCCGAAGTGCGCTTCCCAGGGGAACTAACCCGAGACAAGTATGATCCCACTTTTGTTTTAAAATACACACAAGCAAGTATACATACAGGAAGACATACAGAAAGACCCACCAAAGTATGAAGCATGTAATTAAGAGGAGAAACAATGGAGAACATGGCAAAAAGAAAAGGAGAAGAAATGGCAAAAGAATAAATGGAACATAAATGCTTCATTCAAAGATACTTCACAGAATAAAAAATTATCACTATCTTTAAAAGTTACATTAGTTTCCCTCTGTATCACCCATCAGTCATTTACATAATATACCTGATATATACAACAATACTGTGCAACAGGGAAAACAGGCAGAAGGAAATGTAAGAGTTTATGTGGCACCAAAGCTCTCAGCACTTATTAATCAAATGAAGCACCAGCGATGTTTGAGAATACATAACCAGCTCATCTATGGAAAAGATGGTGAGCAAACATTTTTATGAGGCTCAGCCTTTGTGACACATCAAAAACACACTTGGATAAGATTCGATTCCCCTAAGATTCCAGAAGTCTGTCTACCTGGCTGTTAAGCAATTTTATACTGCTCTTAAGTCAACACAGCACTTTGAATTTTGAAGTTTCTACCACCTGCATATCTTAATGAAAGAAAAGGTAAAATTAACCCTGTCTATGATGGATGAATGGGAAGGAAAAAAGAAAGCAATCCAATCCAAGCAACAGTTCTGGCGCCGGGAATGGCCAGACCACTGAGTGACAACAGGAACCCATGGCTGCAGGGTGTGGGGAAGCGCCTTTAAACAGGGTCTGTTAGAAAAGGAAGTCAGTGGAGAGAGCAGCAGTGGGGTAATCAATGCCTGAAGTGAAAAGGAATCTCCTTGGAGGATAGATTATTTCCATTATTACTTCTAAAACTTGGGTGCAGCACAGGGTCCACATCTTTAAAAAAAAAAACAAAACTGCGATGTCTCTCTCTGCAGAAGCAATCCCCTCCCCCACGATCAGGTTTTTAGCTGCTGTGTACAGATACTCTGAGACAGGTACTATCCTTATGAACGGACACAGCAGCGGCAGAAAGGACTACAAAACAAAGGGACGGGGGGAGATGGTTAAATTTTGTAATCAAATTATGATTCCCAATGAAATCAGATTTAAGATCTCAGATCACACACTATTACATATACGTAATGAGGATCTTTTTCTATGTATAATGCATTTCTTCCCTCAAGCATTCCAAAGAGTAACAGAAAACACTTGGGCAAAAAAAGCAAATCTATCTATTAGTTTTACACAAGTCTGGATAATTCTACTGCCTGTTATGGTCAAAGAGCCAACACAACACACGGGACCTCACCTTAGGTTGACCGAAATTTCACTATATTAATAAAGACTTCCTTCAAAAGAAGACATCCAGAATACTTGACTCAAAACCAAACTCACTGCACTTCATGTACAACCATCCATGTTGGTGACCGGGACGGGGGGGGGGGGGGTGATCCGACACACGGCTAGCTCATCTCGCTGATGCTACCGTGGCCTTAAAAAGGAAGTTCTAACTTTAGACCTTTGGCTCAGAGAGCTGCTGATTCCCGCCTCACCCTGCAGCTTTTAACCTGGCCAGCGTTCTGAAAGCGAGGCCTGAAAAGCCATAAAGTACCCGCTGCTTCGGCTGAAGTGAGACGTCACCTCCGCCTGCAGGCACTGCTGCGCCGGCCGCCTGCTCACAGGGCGGATTTAGTAAAACATGGATGAGGAGGTAATGTGAAATCTCTTTTCCTTCCCAAAGGTCATCCCTTCAATCATAGGGGTTGGAAGAACTTGGTGGGGTGCGAAGCTTTCTTGTTGCTCAGAAGGTTGAAGTTATCTGGACCTTAATGAATCAATCACTACGTAGCCTTTTGCAATAGCTAAAAGCCACAATGGAACACAAAGTATAAGCGTTCAAATGATGTCACGTTAGGTAAATGACCTAATGTCAGGATTTTCTATAATAAATCACTGCCTTTCCCTTCTTCTATTCTAAAATTACTCCAAACCCAAGAGGGTTTATATAGCAAGATAGTTTATACTGCCCTGGTATTCCTACAATATAAAATAAAACTAATAAAAATATAAAATAAAATAAAAACATATAAAATGTTTAGTGCTAATGTTGATGTGGGCATGAAAAGCTCATTCATAAGTTACATTTATACCCTTTATATCTTAGCCAAACTGAAAGTTTTTTTAAGACTATTGCAATGCATGCGACTTATGGAATACAGGATAATGAAAACCCCCCTCCTATTAATGACAAGAGTATTATTATTTTCATCCTGAGTTATCTGGCTTACTGCGGAGAATTGTGGATCAGCCTGATACCTGGAAAGTCCAAGTAATCAAAAGAAATCTGTAAGTAAAAAATGGAAAGAGGTATCGTTACCAAAAACTAAGTCTCTAGCCCGTTATTAGCTTTGCCTCGCCTCGACCACCCTCATCATAATAAAAAAGCTGATTTTACTGAGCTTATATGATGTGCCAGGAATCTGCTCAGGCCCTTAAAAGAAACATTCCAGTTAATATTCAAAACAGTCCTTGAGAAAAGATACTGTCACCATTTTACAGATGATGAAGCTGAGGCTTAATGAGGTAATTTCACAGGAGAGCATAAACAGTAACTAGTGGGTCAGAAATGGACTCTCTATGGTTTTACATAGTAGGAAAAATGAACAGATGAAGATTTAAAATTAATTCAAATGACAAAATTAAAAATTAGTAGAAAGAAAAATACCCATAAACCTCAGGATTACCTAGGGCCTTGAAAAGTTCTTCTCGCACAGCAGAGGTGAATTTTCTGACCAGACACAATGTTGTCACAATAGCAAAAAGCAAATTGTAGGATAATACAATATAGAAATTTCCCAGCCAATTAAACCTTCCAAAGTCTCCAAGTAGATCAAATCTAGTGATTCCTGTTAAAAATAAATAAAATAACCCTTAATAAAAACAGGTACAATATGTTTAAATGCGTTACACAATCAAGTACAAGTCAGATAAAACTCCGTGGACTTTCTCATTTGTTAGTTGGAACCCCAGTCAGAATTTGTAATCGTTATGTTGTGGAACAACCTCAGCCAGTCCTAACCTACTCTCTCTATATGCCACAATCTCTTGGAAGTGATGAGGCTGGAGTGATTGTCCCTTCCTTGTCACTCACTCCACTCACACCGACAAGAGATCTGCTGCGCTGCTCATGGAGAGAATGGACGCAGTGTGCTCAACTGAAAAAGGAAACAAGGTTACTGAGGGAGGAGACGACACTGGACACACCCTTCTAGCTCCCACCTCCCTGCTGCATGGTCCCTCTCTTCGTGCAGCACCCAGGTCAAACATCACCTCCTTAGAAAGGGCACCTGTTTCCTCCACATAAAACAGCTGGACCCTCCATGGTCGTCTATCCTAATTACACATCTTTGTAACACATGCTACTTGAAATACTTCTTTTCCTTTCTGGTTTATTTTTTGCCGACTTTCCCCACTAGTATGTAAGTTCTATGAGAAAAGGGATTTTGTTTTTTTCACCCCTATAATCCTAATGCCCGGAGCAATGCTTGTCCATGTCTAATAGTTACTACATAAACGAATCAACAACTAGGGTGATTCCTTTCTGGGTTGGTGGGGTGGGGGGCAGTGGAGATAAGCATTATTAACCTGAGCTGGACACCACAGGCTTGTAGAGTAAAATGGCAAATCTAGAAAAGGCAGTTTTCTCATATATACATTGAAATTACTTAAATTCACCTATACACATTTTTTAAAGTCTTTTTATTCAAAAGAATAATTCGAATAGTCATTCTATTTAGTAATAATGTGCCCTAAGCCAAATATTTATTGGAAAGAATGCGTGAATGTCAGGGCTCTTCCGGCTCCTGGTAGATAAGTAAGCGGCGTCAGGCAGTTAGCGAGTGACAGCCGGCGACGCCGCTGACAAGCTTCCGGGAAGAAACTGGAGTTATTTGGGGCCATATAAAATTTTAAACATAAAGGACCATATAAACAAAATCCTGTACGCCTTTATTTTTTGAGTGGTCTAAGGATTTCAAGAGTGACCCAACTTCATTTCACTCTATCAGCTGACTTTTGGACTTAGCTCTCATTCCCACCAAAGCAATCCCATCACCCCACAGGGCCAGACTCCACAAAAGCAGTGCATACAGACAACAGAAAAACCTTCATACCCAAAAGCATCACAATAGTAGGAGGTTTCAAGAGGTAGTTCCTTCTTAATTTTTTTTTTAAGATTTTATTTGTCAGAGAAAGAGCACAAGGAGGGAGAGCAGCAAGCAGAAGCAGGCCCCCTGCTGAGCAAGAAGCCCAACGTGGGACTCGATCCCAGGACCCTGAGATCGTGACATGAGCTGAAGGCAAATGCTTGACCAACTCAGTCACCCACGAGTTCTAAGAAGTAATTCTTCTATGGCCACATTTACACAGTATTTGAACTTGAGAGACAACAATTACCATAATATTTTAAAGAGAAGATTAATGAAAACATACAATAAAATATCTTTTTAAAGAAGGTGAAGGGACCCAGACCCCAGGAGAGTATGCCACATAGACCACAAATCATAAGTCATGACAACAAGCACGGCTGCAGTTTCTCAAATAAAAGCCTTAATAAAACTTCACTTTGTCTGGGGCACCTGGGTGGCTCAGTCGGAGAAGCGTCTGCCTTCGGCTCAGGTCATGATCTCAGGGTCCTGGGATCGAGCCCCATGAGCCCCACATCAGGCTCCCTGCTCAGTGGGGAGGCTGCCTCTCTCTGTCCCCCACCCCATGCTATCTCTCAAACAAATAAAATCTTCAAAAAAAAATCAACAAAAAAATTTACTTTGTGGAAAGGAATACAGATCTAATTACACATTGTAGTTTTGAAACAAAGTACCATTTAATTTAACCTAGGAAGTTATCTATAGACCGGATACAGTCCTTCCAAAACAAATTTCAGTGATTTCAGCCCAAGGATTCCAGATAAGTAGTTTATTTGATCTTTAGGATCAAAGACTCCTTTGACAATCTGGTGAGAGCCATAGATCTTTTCATGAGAAAAACACAGAGATGCACACACACACACACAGACACACACACAAAATCTTGCATATGATGAAGCTGATTTATAGAGAAAACTGCTGGATCACTAAATAAAAACCCTTGTCTAGATGCTCCAGAAAAGTCTTACCTGGTCTCAAGACATTTTAATCATATACCACCATTAGCAAAATTACCACACATATAATTAACACACATATACACACATATTAGCAAAATTAGAACACATATATCCAATATATGTGTATTTAATTATTTTAAAACTATGTATGTACTGGCTTTTATATTATACCAAAGGACAGACCTTTAAAAAAGTAAGAACAATAAAAGTAAATAGTTCTCACGGTTTCTTCACATAGCCCAGTGACCTACTCTGTGAATGCTGGGGACAAACCACTCTGGAGGGCATTGGAACACGCTAACTGGTAACTCAGCCGCCAGCCCGAACCCAGCCAGTACCACACTGGGACAGAAGTTCCACACAGAGCGCAGTGAGGAGAAGGGTGCACTTAGCACAGGGACATTGGAAGGTATGTTATGAACAATGGGAAGCGCTTGCACTAGGACTTCTTAGTGGATTCAACTTGGTATCCTGAAAGTCAAGGTCAAGACTTCATATGAAACTCAAGACAGAGAGTAGTCTCCTCGTTATATGTCTGGTCCCCAGGACATCTCAAGTTGACCTCACAGACAGAAACCCAGGGGCCTATTGCTACAGTGCACCAAAGCACTAAACAAAGTATTAGATTAGTTCTAAAGGTGCTGTTCTTTCAAATTGAATTTAAATATCTAACGAACATTGTCTGATTAAAAGGTCACTCTGGACAACACATGCAGGTCTTCAATTATGAAAATCTTCTGTAAGACTGAACAGCAAGAAACCTGAAACAATCAGTTCCCTAAACTTCCATCTGAGAGGTTTAGGTCAGAGCAATAAACTGTAAAATGTACTTTTTTGTTAAAAGCACCAACACTTAAGAAAAAGTAACAATACTTAAAATTTTAATAACACTTACGGTATAAATGTATAATACTCAAAATCTCTATTTCTGAAGGCATATAAAAGGGTATTAAGGCAGCATATTTTAAAATACTATTAACTAAAAAATTCAATTATCAAATGCTGTTATTTAACTCTCCTTGTCAAATACTGAATGCTCACTCCCATCCTGAAGTCATTTCTTTAAAAGATAAGTAAAACATACACAAGGTGAAAAGCCTAGTTAGTTAAGCAGTGGCTAAGCATAGGCCGTATTATCTGGATTATCTGTGAATAAAACGCACTATGATGCAGTAGAAAATGCTTAATGCATAATTCCTTGAATAAAGATCTTTTTCTATTCATACCTATACAAGAGCCAAGGTGCAAAACCTTATTTCAGGAAAGAGCTGGTTACTCCTCCAACAATATGATTCACGAGATTTTACCTTCACTAACCCCCCGGACTTAACTCTGATTTCTAGCAAATATATTCCTGTTCCTTACTAGCAAGAAGAAATTGAGAGTTTATAGAGCTTGACACACTGAAGCAATCATTAAAGTAACTTTATCAATAAACCATATGTGCTGGCATCTCACAAAAATGGCTGACACAATCCACGGCTTTAATGGAAGATTACCAAAAGAACACACACATCTTGTCATACAAGATAAATTTGTAAGTTAAATGTTCTCTGACAAAACAAGAAGACTGGGGCACCTGGGTGGCTCAGTCAGTTAAGCATCTGGATCTTGATTTCAGCTCAGGTCATGATCTCAGGGTCGTGGGATCAAGCCCTGCATTGGGCTCTGAGCTCAGTGGGGAGTCTGCCTGAGATGCTCCCTCACCCTCTTCCTTTGCCCCCTCCCAACTCATGCACGCAGTCTCTAATAAAATAAGCTTTAAAAAAAAAATCAATATACCTCTAGCAATACTATTAAAGAAAAAAAAAAAAGACACAAATTACCAGTATCTGCTATGAGAAGGTAATTAGCACCATAGCAGGGCACTGGTATATCTACACTAAAGGGATAACAAAGGAACTTTATGCCAAAAAACTTGACAACACAGATGAAATAAACTCCTTAAAACACATAAACAAACTCACTCAAGAAGAAATAAATAGGCTGAGTAGTCCTCTATCTATAAAATAAAGTGAATTTGTTGTTAAAACCCTTCCACAAAGTAAATTCCAGGCCCAGATGGCTTCACTGATGAACTCTATCAACTGAAGGGGAAAAACAAAAAAACCCAATTCTATAAAAACTCACTGTCTTAGTCCATTAGGGCTGCTGTAACAGAATATTATAGACTGGGTGGCTTATAAACAACAGACATTTTTTTTTTTTCCACAGTTCTGCAGGCTAGAAGTCCAACATCAAGGCTCCAGCAGACATGGTGTTTGGTGAGGGTCCACTCCCAGGTTCACAGACAGCTCTTTTCACTGTAACCTTACATGGCAGAAAAGGACAAGAGAGCTCTCTGGGGCCTCTTTCATAAGGGCACTAATCCCATTGATGAAGGTGGAATTTCATGACCTATCATCTCCTACAGGCACCATCCTCCTAATAGCATCACACTGGGGATTAAGTTTCAACATATGAATTGGGAGGGGGCTGACACAAACATTTAGTGTATAGCATTCATCCAGCAAATCGAAGAGGAGGAAACACCTCTGGATACTTTCAATCAAGATAGCATTACTCACATAATCAAAGCCTGAAAAAAGTCATCAACAAGTAAAAGGAACTACAGGAGTGCCTGGGTGGCTCAGTGTGTTAGGCCTCTGCCTTTGGCTCAGGTCATGATCTCAGGGTCCTGGGATCGAGCCCTGCATCGGGCTCTCTGCTCAGCAGGGAGCCTGCTTCCCCCTCTCTCTCTGC